CAAGCGAACATTGGAACTGCAGATTTTACGTGAATTAAGTGTCCTCTGCTGTGTATGGTCAGAGTCAGAAATACATGTGGAAATAAACCAATCAAACACTAATGTAGCATGGATTAAACATGGTCAGCAAAGGTAGAAATGCTGACATAGATTAAAACTAGAATTTGAGAGACTCAGTGTTTAGTTGAAGCTGTAGAGCTGCTTCTTTCTGAGCTCCTGGTATGCTCAGGGTGCTAGGCCGGGCACAGCCTCCTTTGCATTGTGGTCAGAGGGCCAATCAGAGGGTAGATGCCCTTGTCCTGTGCTGGGCTACTTGTCTGAAATTTGTTCTTGCCTCAGTCAAAACACTAGAAAAAGCTGAATAGGATTTGTTTTGCTCAGCGGGGTTTCATAGCAAATGTTCTTGGGCTGTGTCAGATATTCCAGAAAGGGTTTCCAAGCTTTTTGTATCCTGTCATGCCCTGGGGAATCTTATACATCATCTTGTTCAGGAGTGTTTAAAGTAATCATAGGAGGGGCTCCACCCTGGAGCTGCACAGAGCCTAATGTGCATGAGGACTGAGGGTTTATAGGAAGTATATTGAAATCTCCACCCAATGTGTGCATGTTCCACTTTTCCTGCAAAACTGAAATCCATGTAGTCCAATACCAGAGTCTTGGTAATCTGTGGCATTTTCTGTGCTGTTGTCCTGACAGCTTGGCTAACTACATCCTATACAACAAACCTACCCTTATCCATGGGGTTCTGGTTTATTTTATGTGCTCATCCTGGCTATCACACTAGGACTGGAGTGGTCCCAAAACTTTTATGGGCATCGTGTGGTTTTTGAAGGTGACTTGATAATCATGTATTTCCTTCACTTTTTCAACAGAACAAGAAGTGCCTCCCTCTCATGGGATAACTCCCTGTGGAAGAGCCAAAAGAAAGAAGCTCTTCCAGAGTTTCCTTTGCCATGGTGGAGTAGGTCTTGAGGCAGAGGAAGATCCTTTTTAATGCATAAAGTAGCAAGGAGTTCACAGCTTTGAAACTAAAGGCCTACTTTAACACCATGTGTAATGAACTCTGCAAGGTGCTAAGTCTATTTAATTCCTGTTGAAGCCATAGTAAATCCCATGAAACATGAAATCTGGGCAAAGTAGCACCATCTCAACTTTGCGACAGCAGAGCTAACAACCAAAATAATTGACTGCAGCCCACAGAGACTGTTTTTGGAATGACTGATAGCAGTTACGCTTCCAAAATGGCCTCAATCCAGCTTTCCCGATTTTTCTTGCAAGACTTCTGTCTGCAGTTCATTTTACTTGAAAACTTGCTGGTGCATGTGAAGAAAGGATAACTTTTTCTGAAGGTGCAGCCTGTCATTTTTAGTACTGTCACAAGAAGCTGCTGTAAGAGGGTTGAAGGATTAGCGCTCATCTTGAGCTTAGAGTTTCTCTAAGCAACCTTCTCTAAATCAAACCTTATCTTTGCTGAGATCATCCCTTCTTTAGGAGCTGAATAATCACCTTGTGCTTCTATCAAGTTGGTAGCACAGTAATGTGTAATGCATGTGTAGCCAGAGTAATTCAGTGTGATACAAGCCATGGCTTCAAATGGCAAATACACTGAGCATGGTCAAAGGTCTACGGTCAGTCCAGCTATTCCTGAGGGCAGGATGGAAGGAATAAATAAATGCCTTGGCTAGTTTGGTGGCACGATAGAAAGTGTGACACCTCCAGAGCACGCTGGCATGATGACAAGTGTGTATCATCCTGCAGGGCTTTGGTTTCGCAGTGCAAAAAGGGATCTTGCACTGACCTGGCACTGCTTTACAAAATGCTGTGCTTAGCGCCACTGGTGTCATGTCCATGGTGTGGTGTTCAGCAGCACGTGAGATCTTGTCAGGATGATGCTTCCCACCCCCAGTGCGTGAGTGTGTCTCTTTGGGACTCCCATTTGGGTTTTGTTTGGAAGTCAGGACGTGGCTGTTCATTGTACCTTCTGATGGCTCATAGTTGGATTCTGCACGTGTACACAGCTGTTTGCTGCCTAAAGACGTGTTCCTGAAAATATTCGTGCACAGATTTTTATACTTAGGGCTGGGGAGCAATATACTTCTCGGAGTTGTTTTTTGCTTTTGACGAAATCTCATATCCCCTTCCTCCCCTTTCCTTCTGTTATGCTGTGCACATCTTCTGCAACTATCCTGTGTCTATCAGTCATAATTCTTCGGCACAGTTTTACACCTTGATGCCTCATTATAGGCTTAGCATAGATAGATGTAGCAGAGAAACCAAGAAACCACTCTTCTTTCTATGGTAGCACTATTCCCCATTCCTGTGAGCATAATTTGAAAGGCGGGTGTATATATATGCCCAACTACCCGATACCACATTTGGGGAAACAAAGCCTAGGAAAGTATTGCCTTTGTGGCACTACTGCCTTCCATGTATGCTGTGGTAAATACTCTAGACAGCTGTGGTGTGCAGTGAAGAATTTCAAATGATTCAGCTGGAACTAGGAGTAATAGTACTCTACAAACAGACCAATAATCTCTTTGGCTTTTATTAATGGAAGATACGCTCCATCACCTCATGTGTTTATAGAATGTAGTGCAAATATATACTTTCTTTTATTGTGGCATCTTCTGTCCCAAACACAGATGAAACTTCTGTTTTCCAGGTAGGGAAGCAGATGTGCAGGTGAGGTCAGGAGCTTCCACAGGAGGCCTAGGGCAGGACTGAGAATAGTATTCAAATCACTTACTCCTAGTATTGCATTTAACCATAGAAATCCCTTTTCTCAAAGGATAATGCTACAGTTCTGTTGAGCATGCTTATAAAGGCTCTGCCGCCCAGGGATTATGGGCTTGGGAGGGCTCAGGTTCTTAGGAGGGCTAATTCCCTGTGAGCATTTTAAACTCCCCTTGCTGCACTTCACACTCGGTTGTGAAACCAGAGAGGAGCATGGGCCCCCTTTGTAACTGTGTTGCTTGGCTGAAGTGGATGGATAAACCACATCTTATCGCTTATTAATGAAAGATTTAAAGTATTCAATGCTTCTGGAAAACAATCAATATCTCCAATGGGAATTCTTTCATGTATGGTCCTCTGTGGGGTATCTTTATGCTTCTAGTGAGGCAGATTCAAGAGATGCCAGGAATTAAGGAGCTTCAGCTATGGGTCAGTTTATTGAGGCGTTGGGTATTTTTTTTTTTTTCTGACAACATAGATGCCTCAAATACAGATTTTTGTTGTTTGTTCGAGCCAACAGAACCTTCTGGTGGGATTATTACATTAGGTTGGGATACACTACTTGATAAATTGCCCAACTGAGAATGATCTCCTCTGCCTTCTGTATTTCTATTCCATCTTCAGAAGGGAATACAGAATATCTGCTTCCTGCTCATAGATTATTTTGATCATTCTGTGTAACTGGGGAGATGGAGAAAAGCTGCAGTTGGTGATGTAAGCAGCATGAGTACACATCACTTTCTGGCAAACTGGGTACAAAGTCGGGGTTAAAAAAAAAAGCATCCTGCATCTTTTCTATAGCTGCTTGTGACATGAAACATTTAGCAATAGCGAGGACATAAATACTACACAGAGTGTTTTAAGCCTGTTTAAGCCTTCTGCTTATCATCTACCTGGTAGTGGTGTCACCGTATATATCTTCTATGAAGGGATTGTCCCAATGCCTCCATCAAAAATGCAACAGAAGGATGACTGTATGAACTCTATAGTGGACATGTTACATGCCTGGACCACAAAAATCTCTGGAAATCAGTGGGCTGTTTGGAAATCCTTATTTACACCTTTGCCAATTGGATGTCAAATCCTGCTCTAGAGATCCTGTAATGCAAAGCCAGACTCAGATGTTGGGTAGGCATTTCAGATGTCCAGGTCCTGGAGTTCTCAGTAGAGAAGAGATAAGGGAATGCAGCCAGTCTTTAGATGAAGAAAGATTTTTTCCCTTATTCAAAATAGTTTAATTTCTATTTTGATTTCAAACCTATTTTAATATTTGAGGAGATTCATTCTGTAAGATCAGCCCAATAAAACGCCACAAGAAACTCTTTAAGGTCCTACAGGTACCCATGTTATTTCTTCAGTTCCTACTGAAATTTTATTTAATTGTGAGACAAAAGCTTCCTTCTCCAGCACTGACTGTCTTTTTTCAGTGCATCCTCAAGTGCTCAGCAGCCTGAGTCATTTCAGACTAGACAGTTACATTCCCTTAGGGATACTGTCTTACAGTCTCATTCTAGTAATAACTCTTCTAGCATCCATCAGATTTGCAGGCCCAAAAGAAGAGCCTACAAATCCTTTAAACCTTAGATAGATAGGATCCTGTAAATTACAGACAAAGTTTGAAACTAATTTTAGATGGGGTAGGGAAGGGCTTTTTTGTGAATTACTAACAAGATTCTAACCCTTCCCTGCCATACCTAAATTTGGATTTAATGTATTTCTGGTTGGTACCAGCTGTATAAAAGCCAGCAGTGGTATTTGGTGTAGTGTTTTATCTCAGTTGCCGCTAGGTCTGTCCTCTAATAAACTACTGACACTGTAACAAAGCATGTCTGTTATGCCTGCCAGATTTATGAAAGCTACTTTCGGTAGAGACTATTTAGTACCAGCTCTTCATTATTTTTCAGGCATGACACAAAAGGTACTTTGGGGATGAATGTTGATATCTTCTTGGCAGGGGTGACAGACTGAAGTAGTAGTTAGGTTTGTAAAGGCAGAGAGGAAGTTGACATATTTACAGAATAATTTAGGTGGTTAAATGAATTTAGGTGTTTAGAAGGTTTTAGGAAGCTCAGTTGCATCTTGAGGTGCCACAATACCTTTAGAACTCTCAACCTTTTTTCATCCCTGGCTCATGTGACTGAGTGGTAGTATGTATTTGCTGATGCAAGCTATGGCTGACTTGCTTATTTGGGGAAATACCGGTCATACTGTAAATAAGCATAAATATAAAATTAAGAGAAGACAAAATGTTTTAATAACAAGCTATCATGGAAGGGCTAGTGATCATTATTAATGATTTACATGATAAATGGGAGGAAATGTATAGTTTTCTGGTTTTCAGCAGTCTTATGGTAACAACTGTGGAATTAGACTGGTGTTCATTTCTTTCAAAAGGGGAGAGTTACGTCTGCTCATCTGACAACTTCTTCAAGAAGGTGGAATACACCAAGAACGTCAATCCCAACTGGTCTGTCAACGTGAAGACATCTGCCAACCAGAAAGCACCGCAGTCTCTGGCCAGCAGCAACAGCGCCCAGGCGAAGGAGAACAAAGATTTTGTGCGTCCCAAGCTGGTAACCATCATCCGCAGCGGAGTGAAGCCCCGGAAGGCAGTCCGTGTGCTCTTGAACAAGAAGACTGCCCATTCGTTTGAGCAAGTCCTCACTGATATCACTGAAGCTATAAAACTGGAGACGGGAGTGGTCAAAAAGCTGTATACCTTGGATGGGAAACAGGTAGGAGATTTTACAGATGTTAGGTCTTTTTCTTTCTTTTATCTTGAGGCTTTGCTGACTCAGAACACTTTTTCAAGCCTAAAATTAACCTGAGATGATCACTGCCATCTGTTCTCTTAGAAGTCTGACTTCTCATGCCAGTGGTTAAGTTACTAAATTTTCACCGATATTAATATCAAGTAAAGAATGTCGCCAGCCGTCTGAGTGAAACAGATGCTGGGTCCTGCACGCCAGCGTGCAGTGCGTGTCTTCCGGACTAGCTAAATAAATTACATGGGGAGTTCGGCTCACAGCCACCGCTTGATTTGGTGCTGAAGTAATTGCCAGAACACTCGAGCTTTGGATTCACTGAGTGAAAATGTGTTGCTTGACTTTCCTTGTCCTCAGATGAAGGTTGGCTAAGATAAAATAATTGATCCAAGCATGCTCTGGCTAGTTCAGTAATTAGCAGGAAAGGCATGGAAATGTGTTGTATTTTCTTGACTAAATGAATGAGGAGATAACATGCAGAAAGGGATTTGGGCCAGAAATATTTAGTGGGTCATCATAATGTGCTTCATGTCTACATTTTCCTGGAACTGAAGGAAACATCTGGCTCTTGTTAGGAGCTACACAGCAATAAGCCAGTTCGTATTGCTGTATCTATGAAAACCTTCGAAGGAATGTGGGGGATAACTCTGGGGACTGGGAAGAGCTAGATTCTTCAAGGACAGTTCTGAGCTTGATTTAACATTTCTGTGTCTTCTGTAACTGAGGGTTGGTCTTATTTTTGTCACTTTTTCTTGCTCCAGATTCTGGAATGAGGCAACACAGTTCTTGGGGGGGGGTTTGACGCTGGCTGTTCTAGGGATTGATGCTATTGCTTTAAATTAACTATCTCCTGTCTCTGGAGAAAATTATTCAAATACTGGCTCTTGAAATACCAGGCCAACCCTAGGCAATGCATCCAACTGACATGCAGACTTCATGTATGATGATGTTCATCTTTCCAACCCCAAATACATGCTCATAAAGTGTCCTACACCGTCCAGGTGCAGTGCCTGGGAGCTGAAAGTAGCAGGTAACCCTGACCTGTCTGATGTTCTTGCTTTGTCCCAACCTCCATATCCTGCACATCAGTTAGTGGCTGCTTCTACCTTAAGGTATACAAAAATCTCATCTGTCTGACAAAGCTTTCTTTCCACTTGTCTCAACCCAGCACTTTTTCTCCATAAGATGTATAGCTTATAACATGAGTGTGTGATTTTTCCAGAGAGACTGTCCATAGATATAGTAGCATGCAGTAGAGAGGCAGTGGTACAGGGAGTGGTGTGCTGGAAACCTTGGAAGTGGCTGGGAGAAGAGGAAGGAGAGAGTCAAATGATCATCCTCAGTGTGGAAAGCATACCTGGACACGTACACTATGTGTTTTGAATCACAGCAGCTTCACAAAGGGTTTAATTGACAGATCTGGTCTGAAAGCAGTTGCCTACTCACGCTGACACACAGCATCCTGTTGATCTCGCAGTTGTGAATAAGGAACTTAATCTGAACCTGCTAATTGCCTCAGTCCTTTGAGAACAGCCAGCATTTTGGAGGTGAGATGTTGCTTTGGGTGGTGTGCAGAAATAGAGGATGTGTCATAAGTTTCCACCAAACCGTTCTTTCTCCACCTTTTAGCTAGTTACAGGAAAAAGTGGTGTTTCCCCCTCCACCTCTGACTGGAGAGCAAGACTGAATCAGCCCATAGGCTGAACTGAGCTTGTGGCCTGGTATGGTGTTAACCCCTGAGTGGGGATGTGGGAAATGCTGCTTGCTCTCAAGGTACAGGTTGCCTAGAGTAGTGCTGCTGTTGGGTAGACTGCAAGCTGTGTCAGAGCGACTGCCATGCATGGGGCTGCAGCTGAGCAAGGGGCACAAAGGTCTATGTAAGTTAGCAATTCCTCCTACAAACTGTCATGCACAGTGTCGTGTCTGCTATGGACTCTGTGAATCAAAAAATAAAAGGCAACCTTGTTTTCCTCGTGTCAGGCTCTGATAGCTGTACAGTGGCTGGTGCCTTAAGTCGGCACTGTTTTGATTGGGGCAACCTGAAAACTTCACCATCAGCTCTTGTTGCAGAAATGTGATTTCAGTAAAGTCTGAGAAAGATATCACATTTAACATGTTTTGCTGGCTTTATAATTCACCATTTTATGAAATATGGTGTTTCATTGTGTTCATTAGACACGCCACTGGGAGTTTCACTGTATGCAAATGTACATGCAGTACTGCCATTGTTGAAAAGAGGGAGATTTCATCATTTGACGATAATGGAATGTTGATATTTGCATGCGGCATCAATTACTGTTGAAGTTTCCTGAAGAGCAACCTGGCTCACCAAGGCTTTGTTTTTGTTGGGAGGTTTCCTTTAATGTTTGTTTTTTCAGTCTAAGTCTATTTGGAATTTTCCACCTATGTTTGTTTTTACTGACGAAGCTAGAGCTAGAAGCTTCTGCTGGGGGTACAGTGTTTGCTCTTGCGGTTTCCATGACATACTGCTCCATAAAGTCTGACCTTCTGACATGATATTAGAGGTTTTTGCATGTCTTATTCTGACATAAGAAAGAGATTTTTGAATGCCTAATTCTGACAAACAGTACTTTATTTTCAGGAGACAAATATTCATGCAAAAACGCAAGCTGCTCAAAGCTGAGATACTGACAAGAATCTTGACAGTCTGTCTCTTTGAGTGCCATCAGAGGCGCGTTACTCCCTCTGTTGTGAAATGATAAAATTTACAAAAGCAGCGTACAAAGGAAAATCATCCTTCCTCAGTCCATGAGCTGTAACTTAATGAGGGGAGATTATTATTTTATTTATAGGCGTTTCCATGGTGCTCATCAGTAGAGTAATCAAGATGCTTTAGAAGTACAGACAGTAGTGGCAATGATAGTGGTGTGTAAATAATTACATTTCTGTGCACTGCAGACCTGCATTTGGAGTGAGAAAGCAGTTAATTGAGAGCCGGATGGCTGCGTTTGAATAAATATAACACTCAAAACAACAGTGAGGTTAGGTTTTTTAAGGAAATTTTGTTCCTTTTTATGTCTTGGGTTCTCTGTAAAAATATGGCCCCCTTGAAACTGCTAGACTAGCATCTTGTATACAAGTAGTTTATTTAACTTGGTCTTGCACATATTTCTAATGCCTTGTCTTGTCTATCTGTACTCAAGCTCCTTCCCTTCTTGAATCGTATCATCACCTCTTGACGGACAGCCCAGAACTCAAAAAGGGGTTTCAAATTATTGACCAAAAATTAATTGTGACAGAGAATCACAATAGAGATTTAATGCTTGAACCTTCATGGCCATGGAAATGGTATAGGTCAAAGAATTCAGTGCATTAAACAAATACTACAGTGGATCAAATTCACCACTTGGTTTCATAGAATCATAGAATCATAGAATGGTTAGGGTTGGAAGGGACCTTAAAGATCATCTAGTTCCAACCCCCCTGCCGCCATGGGCAGGGACACCTTGCACTAGACCAGGTTGCTCAAAGCCACATCCAGCCTGGCCTTGAAGACATCCAGGGATGGGGCATCCACAACATCTCTGGGCAACCTGTTCCAGTGCCTCACCACCCTCTCTGTGAAGAATTTCTTCCTGACATCTAATCTAAACCTCCCTGATTTCAATTTATACCCATTACCCCTTGTCCTATCACTACAGGCTCTTGTAAAAAGTCCTCTCCCAGCACCCTTGTAGGCCCCCTTCAGATACTGGAAAGCTGCAATGAGGTCTCCTCGGAGCCTCCTCTTCTCCAGGCTGAACAAGCCCAGTTCTCGCAGCCTTTCGTCATAGGAGAGAACATGACTACAACTGCTGTTGTGTAATATATATAATTAATATTTACATATGCAGTATTGAATTTGGTCTTATCTGTAGATCGTGTTGAAAAATAGTTGCTTTAGTAGATACTTTCTCTTTTTTAAATTCTTGGTTATATCCAGTGTCCCAAATAAGTCTGGATTCCTGGGAGCACTGGCTACTTTAAAAACACATGATGACAGTTTCTGCCTCATGTTGTTAATAAACCAAATTAGAAAACAGGATTTGAGACTGTGGATGAAGTTGCATTCAAATGGGCTTGCATACTTCAGTTCCACATAAACATAAATATTCTGGCCAACAAGCAGGGAACTGAATGTGGTTTTAGCCATAATAACATACAATGATCTCTTCTCGACTTTGAAATCTCCAAGCATAGAGAGAAGTCGCACATGTGCTATTCACTGGCTTTTACTCAGCCCAGACAAAGTGTTTCTGGTCCATCTGAGTGTTAGCTGTCTCATCGGATGAAATGACATACATTTTCATATGTCAGGGCATTTGTGACTCTGCTCCCGAAAGAATTTCTAGTCTTAATAAAATGGTCCCCTCTAGCAGTCTTGGCTTTGCTAAGGATTTCATGTGGCAGGCGTTGAGTGAAGTTCATCTTTCTGTTTGCAAAGCTGATGCAAATGCTTAGGAGGCCAGCCCACCCCTCCTGTCCAGAGAAGAAATTGCCATTTCATTTTAGATGACTTGCATTGAGGAAGGACAGCAGCTACAGAGGGAGAAGCCCGATGACTAAGCTTACAACAGGTTAAAGGCTGGGACTTTGGGATTAAACCCAACAGAGTAGTTGGTAAAGCAGCTACCTAGTACTGCACTACTAGTAAAAAGCTACCTTAGGTGCATCCATACAAGCTGTGCTAGGGAATCCAACCAAACTTGGAAGCTGTTGCATTGATTTTAAGCTGACGTTTGGAAACAAACTAGTAAGAACTTAATTGCTTGAGTGTTAATGCTAGCAGAGGACCAAACTTCCATGATAGTGTAGCTCAGTCTATTACATGAATGAAATTGTATCAATGTGACATAAAACGAGGTTCATACCAAAATATACTAATGCCTCCAATGGCTGTAGTCTGTAATTGATGCTCAAGGAGAGGGTGAATGCCTCCAAGACATACCTAGTAACATCTACATCGCTGA